CAGACACCTCTTCTGATAATTGCCTATAAATTTTGAGGCAAGGCTCCATTTTCTACACACGAAAAACACTCTAGAACTTCTTTCTTTTTGAATATACTGCATCCTAATTCGCAGTCTCTCTCTCTCCAATTCGTAAGTGTGATTTTGCTCCGTTCTTTGAGTTCGTTGGGATCCTGCAGTTTGTATTGCCACTGTTGCAGGAAGGTTTATTTCGTTTTATCCTGGGAGGATTTAATCCATTACCTAGGCAACTTGTGAGGGGGTTAAAATTCCTTAAGGACACACAAGAAACTTGTGGACTCGGAATATTTCTGATTCTCTACTATCTTCCAGATTTCTTTAATTCTTCTAACATTTTTTTTTTTCTGATTTTGTGTTTTAACACAGTAATGCTCACAAAAAGTTGAATATATTTACTGGAAACTCGTACAATATGGCAAAAAGTGTTCACTTGGGAAGTTTCGTTACTATCATTGTTACTTTTTTCCGACAAATATTAACCACTACAACTTTATATTATTTTATTACTTTCTACTCTTGGATGGCATAAATTTGTCTTTTTCTATAAGGGAGAAGCCTTAAGAAAGAGAGTGAGAGAAGTTAAAATCTTTGTTTGCTTTAAGTAAATAAATTCTCCTAAAAGCAATGGTGGTTTTATGGTTTATCAAAGAATCAGATACCATAAGATAGACAGGATATTCACACAACTGTTAGCTGGGAAAATACTTACTTCGATACACAAAAAGAACTTGCTCGCACTCATCTTTATACCGTGCAAATAAATATAATATATGTGTCGCGCTTATAAATTTTTGATCACTTTAATATGTGACTAATATGATTAAATTACTCAGTGCAGTGCAATGTAAACATCTGGTGTGAGTAAGTATATTTTCACTCACAAGGTGTTGCCGCAAATTGATAGATGGATAACATATGTCTTTCATATAAATTTTTATGATTAATTAACATAAAAATTAATCAAACATGAAAAAATAGGAAAACATCTTCATACCAAAAACACCCTTAATTTTGTGAGTAGTGCTCCTTATGAAGTTATATTAACTCATCTATTTAGCTCGTGGGAAAGGGGGGGTCCCAACACTCAATCATGAAGAGTCCTACTTGATTGATTTTCCAGCATATTCCAAAATATATATTACCAAAATGCTGAGATATCGACTCATCTACGCGTCAGTTTGGTTTTCTTGTTTGGAAAATATATAGATTTCCAAGGACAGCAGAGCAACTTGGTTTTTGTCAATTGTTTCAAGCTGTGTCATTCATGTGTATTTAAATTGCACAATATATTCATACAATGATTTCTCGTGCTGACGTGTAGCGTACGCAAATTTTTGTGCGAGCAGTATTAGTCTATTATTACAATTCAACTTATTCCTAGTACCGACTGTTAGCATACGCAAAATTTTGTGCATGCAGTATCAGCCTATTGCCACAACTTAACTTATTCCTAGTGCTGACTGGTAGCGTACGCAAAACTTTATGCAAGCAGTATCACCTATTGTCACAATTCAACTTTTTCCTAGTACTGAATAGCAGCGTATGTAAAATTTTGTGCAAGCAGTATCAACCTATTGTCACAACTCCAACTTTTTCCTAGTGCTCGTAGCTAGGGGTGGCAATTTGAGCCCAAACTCATCTAACCCGCCCAGAGATTAATGAGTTGGGTTACAAACATTTTAGCTCATGAATCAATTTGGGTTGAGCCCAAATTAACCCATTATATTTTATAGCCCATTCTGACCCATTAAGCAGCCCAAATACAACCCATGAAACTCACCCAAAACAAAAAGGTATCTCAACCCAACTTATATAGAAATTTATTTAGTTGCCCCAATTTTTTATTTTTTTTTGTATTTTCAATTTTCTATTTTTTTTTCTGCACCACTCACTCACCCCACCCTGCCCCCTCTCAAAAAAAAATTTTACTTTTTTTTTGTATTTTTAATTTTTTGTTTTTTTTNCCCCTCTGACCGCGGTTCTGTCGCGACCGCAGTAGAACCGCGGCAGGCAGCGTATTCTTCTGAAAAGGCACCTTTTCCAGACACCTCTTCTGATAATTGCCTATAAATTCTGAGGCAAGGCTCCATTTTTTACACACGAAAAATACTCCAGAACTTCTTTCTTTCTGAATATACTGCATTCTAATTCGCAGTCTCTCTCTCTCAAATTCGTAAGTGTGATTTTGCTCCGTTCTTTAAGTTCGTTGGTATCCTGCAGTTTGTATTGCCACTGTTGCAAGAAGGTTTATTCCGTTTTATCCTGGGAGGATTTAATCCATTACCTTGGCACGTGTGAGGGGGTTAAAATTCCTTAAGGACACACAAGCAAATTGTGGACTCGGAATATTTCTTAAACTCTTCTGTTTTTTCAGTTTCTTTTATTTTTCTAACAGTTTTTTTTTTCGAATTTGTGTTTTAACACAGTAGCACTTACAAGCTTAAGGAATTTTAAACTAACGTTTCTGTGTTGAAACATATATTAAACTGTTATTCATATTTTGTATACTGTTTTGGAGACTAAAGCCTTCGTGCTTTCTACTCCAATAATTGTTCTGTCCGGTTTAAAGTATATAAAAACTTTACCGGAATTATAAACGTACGGGTTTGAAGTATATAAAAACTTCACCATTGTTACGTGTTGTATGTTTGGTTTGGTATTCAGTTTGAAGATATCAAAACTTCACTGATTTAACAAAGTTTTGTTGTGTTTCCAACTCTACAGAAAAGATGACGAACGAAAACCAAACTAATGGAAATGTTGTGGGAACGGGAGCTACTGTTACTGCCTCGTCAAGCCGTTCTACTCGTGCTCATGCTATGGCACCGGCAGAAAAACCCGGAAAGTTTTCCGGTATTGACTTCAAACGCTAGCAAATGAAGATGCTCTTCTATCTTACTACGTTGAGTTTGCAACGTTTCATCAAGGAGGATCCTCCGGTCATGGCTGAAAATTCTCCGGATGATGAACGACTTGTTGTAACTGAAGCATGAAAACATTCTGATTTCCTGTGCAAAAATTACATTTTGAGTTGTTTGGAAGATGGCTTGTACAATGTCTATAGTATCATGGAAACTTCAAAAGCGTTATGGAATGCGCTTGAGAAGAAATACAAGACTGAGGATGCCGGACTTAAGAAGTTCGTGGCTGCAAGGTTCTTGGATTTCGAGATGATTGACACTAGGTCGGTCATAACTCAAGTCCAAGAACTACAAGTCATTGTACATGATCTCCTTGCTGAAGGTATGACCCAAATCAATAATTTTATTAATAAGGTTTATCTTATTATTAATAATGAATTTGTTATTGAAGGTATGGTCATAAATGAGGCCTTTAAAGTCGCTGCTTTCATTGAGAAGTTACCTCCGCTGTGGAAGGATTTTAAGAACTATCTTAAACACAAACGGAAGGAAATGACACTAGAAGACTTGATTGTTCGTTTGAGGATAGAAGAGGACAACAAAAATGCTGAAAAGAAGTCACGTGGACACTCGACAATAATGGGGGCAAACATTGTTGAGGAGGCACCACAAAATAAGAAGAGGAAGAAAGCTTCTGGACCAAAGAATTACCCAAGTAAGAAGAAATTCAAGGGTAATTGCCACAACTGTGGAAAATCTGGGCATAAGGCGGTGGATTGTCGTGCGCCAAAGAATGATAAGAAGAAAAGAATCAAGCCAACATGGTTGAAGATGAAATGGAAGACTTGTGTGCCATGTTGTCTGAATGCAACTTGGTAGGAAATCCGAAAGAATGGTGGATAGATTCTGGAGCCACCCGCCATGTTTGTGCTAACAAGGAGTTATTTTCTTCTTATGCCCCCGCAGGTTCCGACGAGACAATCTTCATGGGAAATTCATCTACGGCCAAAATTGAAGGAGTTGGCAAGATTGCGTTGAAGATGACGTCGGGAAAAATAGTGACTCTAAACCAAGTCCTCCATGTTCCAGAAATTCGCAAGAATCTTGTGTCTACCTCACTTCTTGTCAAGAATGGATTCAAATGTATTTTTGTTTCTAATAGTGTTGTACTAAGTAAGAACGATTTGTATGTAGGAAAAGGTTACCTGAATGAGGGCCTTTTTAAGCTAAATGTAATAGCAGTTCCTATCAATAAAGTGAATGCTTCTTCTTACTTGCTTGAGTCAAACACTTTATGGCATTCGCGTTTAGGTCACGTAAACTTTAAAACATTGCGAAAGATGATAAATCTAGAAGTATTGCCAAAATTNACCCCCACCCCACCCCTACCCCCTCCCCCAAATTTTTTTTCAACTTACACATTTTAAGGTAAAAGGTTTTTTTTATGCAAGATGAGCATGTTTCTAAATTATGGGTCAAGTTGGGCGGGTTGGGTTATGATCCATTGTTTAGCCCATCTTGACCCATCCCATCTTAGCCCAAGTACACTTTGAGCTGGGTTGGGTAATGACCCATTTATTGGCCTAACCCATCTTGACCCGCCCAAATTCAGCCCAACCCACCCATTTGCCACCCCTACTCGTAGCCAAATTTTGTGCAAGCAATATTAACCTATTGTCACGACTCAACTTTTAAGATTTCAAGCATTCGAGCATAGTGTATGTGATATTATTTACACAAAGAATAAGCTTTTTAAGGTTTATAGCAGTTTGACAAGGAGACAAATAAGAAAGGAATCATTAGTTCATAATGTCCTCTATGCCGGAATCAGTATCAGGCTATTGTCAGAACTCAACTTTAAGGTTTCAAGCATTCGAGTATAGTGTACGTGATATTATTTACACAACGAACGAACTTTTTAAGGTTTATAGCAGTTGACAAAGAGACAAATAAGAAAGGAATCATCACAACAATAACAACAACAATCCAGTGAAATCCTATAAGTGGGGTATGGGGAGGGTAGTGAGTACACAAACCTTACCTCTACTCCGGGGAGTAGAGAGGTTGTTTCTGCAAGACCCTCAGCTCAAGAAGACAGAAAAGAGACAAGAAAGGAAATATTAGTAGTTCATAGTGTCCTGTATGTAATACCAAAATTGTTTTGTATAGCTGTAGCATACAACATTTATTATGTTCAACTCCAAAGAAAGGATTTGCTCTCTCTAGGTAAAAATGAACATACACTGTATAATTGTTGTTGTTCAGTGTAAAGGGTTTACTTTAGGGTTTTATACAGTAAAATTGTTTCACATCTACTCAAGAATAAATAGAACAATAAGGCCTAGGTTTTGGACTCAAAAAAACAGAGATAGATAACCTACATTGTCAAAGAAAGTTACTCATTTCTTAGTGAAAATTCTATCAACATTCTATTCTGACAGCGCCGCTTTGCGATGAAATAAATTTGGGTTTTCTGTTGACTTGTTCCAAGCATTGGATGACATCTCCAACCTTAAAGTCAACCCAATTTTGAATCACAAGTCCACATTCATTCCCCTTTCCAACTGCTTCGACATCCTGCTTCTCACGCTTCAGCGATGCACAACATCCTTCGAAAACAACCTCACCACTTCTAAGAAGCCTCATTGTCGATGATCTGGTGAGTCGGCCATCCATCACACGACAACCAGCTATCTTAACGTCCTCTCCCTTCGCTTTGCTCCTTCCTTTAATCTCAAATATGCTCAGTACCTGTGCCTCTCCCGCAACCTGTGTCTCAAATGTCCCGGGGGCTTTTTCAACAATAGAATTGCCAATATCCTCTAAAAGATGATAGATCACACGATGGAGTTTTATCTGCAACCAATCACAATTACTGTGAGCATAAAATGCCATTTCCATTTTATTTTTTTAATAAAGTAAGGGGACCATTCCTTTTTTTTTTGTTTTTTTGGATAACCGTATTGTCTGGGCCAGCTTACGCGCACCTCGATCCGACTAATTCCACGGGATACCTCTACCTCCCACCAGCAACGGGGAACCATTTTCGTTTTATTTTACTCTTATAAAACTTTTAAATTAAATTCCAGCATGCAACAGGACCATTCAGAATATTCCCATGTTTGCAGCATTCAAGTGAGAAATGATGACTACATTTTGTATAAACCAGAATAAGTACCTTAACGCCAGCTTGAGTTGCTGCTTGACTTATTGAACTAGGTGGATTTCGTATGTTAAATCCGACAATAAATGCCCCACAAGCTTGTGCTAGATCCACGTCAGACTCAGAAATAGACCCCACTCCTCCATGGACAATGTTCACGAAAACCTATTAGAAGGATAAATTTTCACAATTTTGAAACTGAAGTTTCCCTGAAGAGTATGAATCAATGCCCATGAACACTAAAACAGAGTTGATCAAATATATATAAACAGCATTTGTCTGACCTGAGGACTATCCAAACTCTTCAATGCATCTGTAACGGCTTGAACAGTTCCTTGAACATCTGCTTTTACTATCATTGTCATTTCAACCCTCTTTGGCTTCTCTTCTCCTTCTTCGTCTTCTGAATTAGCTTCTGCTATTAAAGCTCCTGATTTTTCCGCTTGCATCTTCCTAAGTCTATCTTTTTCAAATTTCTTTTTCCTCCCTTCACTAAGCATCCTTGCCCTTTCCTCAGAGTGGACGACGGTAATGTCATCACCGGCCATCGGAAGCCCCTTGAGTCCTTCGATCTCCACAGGCATAGCCGGTCTAGCCCTATCGGTTGATTTTCCTAGCATATCCCTGATAGCCCTGATCTTTCCCCACTCAGTACCTACGACAACATGCTGACCACAGACAAGGGTTCCAGCTTTCACTATTGCAGTAGCCAATGGACCCCGTCCCCTATCAACCCTTGCTTCGACCACATAAGCTTGGGCGGGTCCATCTACACGTGACTTCAGATCCATTAACTCAGCCTGGAGAAGCAATGCCTCCTCCAGCTTATCCAACCCGATTTTAGTTACAGCAGAGACTTCAACAACCTGAACATCTCCACCCATCTCTTCGAGAGCCAACCCTTCTGTTGCGAGCTGGATCTTCACTCTTTCAGGATTTGCTGCCGGTTTGTCACATTTATTAACGGCAACAACAATGGGAACATCAGCTGCTTTTGCATGGGACATCGCTTCCAGCGTTTGTGGCATAACGCCGTCATCAGCAGCAACTACCAAAACAACAATGTCAGTGACCGCTGCACCTCTTTGTCGCATAGCACTAAATGCCGCATGACCAGGAGTGTCAAGGAACGTGATCGATGCCCCAGAAGGCATTCCAACAACAAACGCACCCAAATGCTGAGTTATGCCTCCAGCTTCCTTAGCAGCCACAGATGTGAGACGTAGAGCGTCTAAAAGGGATGTTTTACCGTGGTCAACATGACCCATCACTGTAACCACTGGCGGACGTGGCAAGACTTCAGCACCTTCGTTTGAATGCAGCCTCCTAACATTTACTCCAATTTCCTGCAAAGGAAACAAGTAAACATTTATGCTTAGAAGTTCAGACACTTTAATCAAATTGGAAAGCAAGAGTTAGATTCAACCTAACAAAAAATAAAGGTTTTACCATCGCAACGAGCTCGGCAATGTCGATGCCAAGAGGATCATATTCTGAGTCAACTTTCTCCCCTACATTTATAAGGATATCCTGCAAGACAGATATCGACTCTCCACAACGCTTGGCGAGCTCAACAATTGTCATACCTTCGAATATCTCTACAGTTTTATCTGATAAGGAGGAGTTAGCAGCTCTTTTTAGTTTGGGAGGCACATAAGGAGCTTCAACAGGTGGCGAGGAATCCTTTGTCCTTTTCTTGAATTTCCCTTTCTTCTGTATCTTCAAACCCAAAGCTTCGGGTTCTTTTTTCCAAGCCAGTGCTTCTAGACTGGCATGAAAATACCTAGAGGAAAAGAACAAATTATATTATCTCTATTACATCAACCAAAAGGTAACACTGTTAGTTTTTTCAGGCTGCCCATAATCTTAACTTATCTTTATCATGCTGCCTATGATCTTAAATTTCGCCTTTCAACGTTTAGATTCACTCTCAAAGAGAAAAACCACGGCGCAAAATTGTCCTTCCTGTCTATGGAGTGCTATAAAAGAAGTGCAATTAACTTCATGGAAAAGATAACAGCTCACCACTGATTAGCAACTCGACTATTAAATTATTCCCATTCAGTTCTGCCAAACTTTTTACTTAACCATGGCAAATCACTAATCTGAAAAGAACACGACAACACAAATGCCATGCAAAACTTCAGTTAATTTGGGTACAAGTCACAACGAACATTTATCAAACTTTAACCAAATACCCTTGTTTAGTTAAGGTATAACATCAACAATCTTGTGCCAATCAACAATTGCCAGGTGTAACTTGAACCTAAATTGAGATGTGGCATAGGTATCTTTGTTGATCGACAGACAAAGTATTCGACTTTTTATTCTAAAAGGAAATAAGGAACTAAACAGGGCCTTAAGGATAGGGCCGGTCAGAATAATATTCTATATTTGGGGATCATAGTCAACCAAGTCTATGTATTACGCTTGTTAGGTATCTGACTCGAGCAATTCCATGAATCACCACATTAAAAACAGTTCTTTTTCTCCCATTAAATTTATTTAATATTATTATCTGCTTCCATATCTTAGGCTTGTGAATAAAATATATATTTATATTTTGCAGATTAGCAGCAATACCAACCCACAATAAGGCAGGGAAAATGGACTTTGTTCCAATCATCTGTACCAGGACCAGTATTTGGAGGTCAAATAAACCTTACACTAGTCTGCACATCGTCATGATCATAGGCTGCTTAACGTAGATTACTAATGAAATCTGCTGACTAAAACTTCTGAAGAAATCAAAATTTGTGCATGCTTCAAGTATATAATATCGTTTGCTATTCTACATGGGAAGGTATCTATTCTGCTGTTAGCTATCCCTTAATGAATTTTCTATGGGTTATTTTATACATGCCCCGCTTCAACTCATTCAAATATTTCCTCTCTCCTTTCTTCTTCCCTTCCTACAGAAGAGATTATGGTCTCTTTCACTCCAACTATCTTTCACATAGCATAATCCTCCCCTTCTCAACCACACAGTAAAGAAAAGAGTTCAAGAGACCAGCAATTGTAGTGAAATGGTTGAAAGATCATTCTCTTCTAAGGGATTTCCTTCAACAGGAAATATTGGAAACCTTTTACGTCTGGAAAGCACTTTTTACATACCAACAGACAGCATGTTAATTATGAGAATCAAAAATGTTATTTCTGATCCATTTTGAACTGCTAAGGGACTCAAGTTCTTTAGTCTGTGGAGAGTGCTGTACCCTCATTTTGACAGAAACTGCGAAGGTAAAGCTCTTTGGAAGAGTGCAATTCTAGCTACTTTCTGTCGCAATTGAATACTGTAGGAAAATATTATTGGGTCGAATCCACCCATAAGGGATGCTAGATGACTCATAAGCCCATTAATTAGTCCTCCTCCTAAACCCTACTTATAACCAATAAATACATCATTATGAGCGTAGAGAAAACGGGTTTTCCTAACGTTTCTTATGGGAAACAAACGACGACCAGTAATTCGAGTCGGGCTGCTGCAGACGGTACGCTTCCTCTAAGGAGACATACTGTACTCGATTTATAACAAATACAACATAAAGATAGAATCTTCCAACACCAGCACTTGCCTCCACAATGTTTATTGAAAAGAGATTTTTTTGCATTGTAAACCAGTTGAGTGTTACGTAGCTTATCATTAGACATTACCCAATTTGCGACAAGACTCAAGATTTTTATTTAGTGAATTTAATTGCCTATATTCATATTTCTTAGAGGACAACAAATCCTCAGAAAGATGTCGCTTGCTTTTATATATTAACTAACCAGAAAAATCCCTTGGAAAGTTAAAGTAAAGTTGTGACTTTACCTTATTGAAGATCTGCATGTTAGGAGGTTGCCGTAGTTTGACTTCCATTGATCTGCATTCCGGAAGCATCCTGCAGTATAAACAAAAAAGATATAAGACATGTCTAAGATCTCGAAAGCTATGTTCTCAACCTTTAATTTCAGCTCTGCGAAAAGGTAGCCAAAGTTTCTTTAGAAACTCGGATGCATTTCAACCAGATGTAGCACAAATAAGCGGTCATAGTAAAACTAAAACATTTACTGATTTTCAAGAAGCGGGGAAAAAGAAAAGAAAAAAAAAACAGAACTTTTACAAGTCAAACAACTCATCTGAGTTAGAAAATCACCAAATTAACTATAAAAAGGAAGATAAGTTAAGCACAATAGTTAATATAAACAACTGAAATAAATGCAGGCTTTGTACTTGAAGAAATACAAATGCACAGACCTTGTAGTTGTCCAAACAAAACTGGAATTTTTCTCTGCGCCTCTTCAAGGTCGGTTTTGGAAACTGACGCTGGAGCATGCCTGGATCTTACTGCCAGTTCCTTTGTAAGACTAATTAAGGTACCCTGCAGAAAATTCCATATAAAAAGACTACCTCGAAACTATACTAACTTTGCAGTATAAAGAGGGAGTCACAACAATGGAATAGTAGAAGACATAATATTTGGGCAGGGTGGATAGATTCGTGTATTGGCAGCCACGAGAGGTTTTGAAGGATTCAAATCAGATAATAAGGAGTGGTACGGTTTCAATAAAAGTAATTAACCAAGTCTATTTGGTCAATGAAGCGCATATCTTTTAGGGAATTCATTTGGTCAATGCAGTTCACATCTTTCTTCGAGAAACTATACTCTCTAATTTTATATAAGACTGGTATCCAAAAACTATAGATAAAAGTTCTCATACGAGCAAAACAATACTTTGCACCAGACAGTTCTCATAGGCAAGCTAATAAAACTTACGAGGATTAAGCTGTTAAGCACCTAAACATACAACCTTCCCATTTATGCTGATGGAAATGTTCTAGAAGTCGATGTCCATGAAGTTCAAGCATGAAAGCTAATAGACTATTCGAAAGTTCAGTGATCAAGTGAATTTCAATCGAGCCCAAAAGAAGAGGCCTAAAAACGCACCTTTTTCCCTGCCACCCTCCACGCCATTCATATGTATTAAAACCTCCAAACCTGTAGATAATGAAACAAAAAGGAAAGGTAAAATTGGAAGCCGTGCTAGTCTAAATCACCACTGCTCAGTGACTTTAGAGAAAAGGCTAAAGCATGTACAGAATTCACCTCAAAAGAAAGACACCATTCGGCTATAAAAATCATCTGAAACTACTCTGTTCTATTTGGGTCCAATTCATTCCAATACTACATTGTCTATCCATAATTTGTCTCTTAAGATAGCTAAAGGGGTTCACTAAAACAATAGAATACGTTAATGCAAATCAATAAGACCAAAACCCTGAGCTAAAACGGAAAATAAAGGTATACCGCGAAATGTCAGGCAAATCCCACAAAATTCCCTCCCAAGGAGTGACTCTTATCAAACTTCCCTTCACTAAAAAGTTCAGTTACATGTATAAAATTAGAAAGTCCACATTTTTATGAAAACTTTGCATTAAAAAGACAGATTTTAGTTGCTTTTCAGCTTCCAATATATCAACGAGGAAAGGCAGTATACGAAAAATAGAGCCTATTACCAGAATTATATAGGTACATATATGCTAAAGCAAGAGTGGAATCTATCTTAAAAGAAAATAAATGCATACACCTCTATCGAGTTCACTTGCATATAACAGCAAGCATGTTTACATATATAAACTGGAAAAATCACATTTTTATTAAAACTTTGCATTGAAAAAGCAAATATCTGGTGGCTTTAAACCCTTTGCAGCTGCCAATAAATCAACAGACAAAGATGGTACAACAACAACAACAACAAACCTAGTGGATTCCCACAAGTGGGGAAAGGGTAGGATATACACAGCCTTACCCATACTCTGGGAATATAGACAAAGAATGGTTTAAAAAAAAAAAAAGAGAGGACTTTATGGATATTATAAAGATGGTATGGATAAGCAATAGAATACAGTAATGCAAATCAACAGTATGATCAAAGCCCTGAGCTAAAAATAGAAGATATTGCATATCCTCAAATTTCTCTCTAAATCCACAACAGCCCTCTTTCCCAAGGAAGTAATCAACTACAGTATCAATCTCAAAACTAGTGAGGTTTGGCTATATTAATACTCTATATCCATTCCGTTCTATTCGAGTCCATTTACATAAAAAAGCAAGTACAGTTACATATACAAACTGAAAAAGCTCGCATTTTTATGAAAATTTGGATTTAAAAAATAAATTTCAGATACTTTAAAAACCTTTGCACCTTCCGACATATCAAAAGACAAAGATGGTAAACAAAAGAGAACCTCCATGGATATTATATAGCAGGTGATACGGATAGGCAATAGAATACAGTACTGCAAATCCACATAATGACCAAAACCCTGAGCTAAAAATAGAAGATAATTGCATACCCTCAAATTTCTCTCTAAATCCATAACAGCCCTCTTCCCAAGGCAATGACCCCTTAGCAATCAATTAACTACGTCTCTATCTGAAACTAGTGAAGATTCCCTACATATACACTCTATATCGATTCCTCTCTATTCGAGCCCATGTACATATAAAAGCTAGCTACATATACAAACTGAAGAAATTCACATTCTTAGGAAGATTTTTGCATTGCATAATTTTATCAATCAACTACGTCTCAATCCGAAACAAGTGGTGTCTGGCTATATGAATATTCTATATATATTCCACTCTATTCGAGTCCTTTCACATATAAACGCAAGTATAGATACATATACAAACTGAAAAAGTTCACACTTTTATGAAAACTTTAGATTGAAAAGATAAAATTCAGATACTTTTAAACCCTTTACAGCTTCCAACATATCAAAAAAGAAAGATGGTACATGTAAAAGAGAGCCTTTAAACAGGTCAAACTATAATCTTGATAAATAATGAAGTAGAAGGGGGAAAAAAGAGCTTGAGTTGAATGACCTGGTAAAAAATAGCAGCTTGGATCTGATAATGAGGTGAAAATTTTATGGTGTGAAAATATCAAATTTTTGAAAGCACCCACCAAGAGTTTAATGGGGTTTTTTTTCTGTGTTTGTGTGTGTGTGTCTTTCTGTGTTGAGGGTGCGAGACCAGAGAGGGAGAAGAGAAGAGGCTTACTGGTAGAAAAAGGATTTTCAGTTCATATTTTTTATTTTCATATTTTTTTTCTTTTTTGTTAGGGTAAGAATTAATTGTCACGCCGTTTTGAAGGAAAGAAACAAAAAGGTTTTATTAATTGTGCTTTTAAGAAATTTTATAAGTTCTCTTAGACAAACTTTTTTTTTAAAACGCCTCAAAGGCACTTGTCTTCTAAAAAAGTTTCAGGAATCGTTCTTCGTTTATCCAATTTTAACCAATTTAATTGAAGACTACATATAGATTATAATTATGCATTTATTTAAAATTAAAAAAGCAAGAGACATTTCTAGACACATCATTAATGCTATACTTTGCTTGAGCCCGAATGTACACGAAACAACGTTCTTTACCTTAAGACTGCGTACACACTATCCTTTCCAAATTTTATTTGTGGGTTACAATGAGTTGTTATTGTTGTTTTTCGTTTTGCCCTTTTTTCGTAATAAAATTTTTTGTTTTATCTCCACGGTTCCTTGAGCCGAGGGTCTATTAGAAACAATCTTTCTATTTTCAAATAAGGTAGGGGCAAGATCTGCATACACATTACCTTTCTCGTATCCATTTATGGGAATACACTGAATTTGTGGTTGTTGTAATAAAAAATTTCAAGAAAGAAATTTTGTGAGTGTTCCTAAAGTTACTTTTGAAAAGCACATCAAGGCACTTTTTTTAGAAAATATATTTAGAAAACGTTTCTAAAAATGAAAATTATAAACAATAAAGAATTGCACGACCAACTTCTACACTTTACAATAAATATATTTGGGCTTACTTATCAAATAAATTAATTTTCTTGGGTTTAAGAAATTGGGATTTTCTTAAAAGAGAAATTCAGCAGATATATAAGAATGCAATTCCACTTCTGAATGACAAGCTCTAAATTGGATAATCATTTGTAAATCTTTATTGCACATCGTTAAATATATTATCTTTAAGTTGTTAAATGTTGCACACACTTTTATATTTGAATAACTCTTGTGACAAAATTGATAATATGCGGGGACGGGAATTAAGGTAATTGCTCAAAAATTTGTTTAAGTTTGTCCCTTTTTTTTTAATTCTTATGTTATAGTAGTATGCATCAACTTCCTATATTGGCTAGTAATAAGATACTACTTTTATTCTCGTAATTTCTTCACAAATACAAAAAATACGTACATTTCAGAAGCTTAAACGGTGGCCTCTTGAACAAAAAAAATTAGTTTTATAATTCGAGTGGTGTCGTTGGCAATAACCAACGGTTATGATTAATGCTATTACCTTCCTTTTTGTATTGTTATTTTGCTACTCCCGCATTATTTGTCGTAATTTCTAAAAAAAAAAAAGCTATCTCAAATTAATTATCGTTTTAAAAGTTCAAAACTAAATTAAATATTTTTTCTATTTTATCCTTAATATTAATTGTTCTTGAAAACTACAAATACCTCAATTATGAGTAAATATTAAATGAAAAGAGATTATATCTTCAAAAACTTGTCCTATATAATACAACGCAGATACACAGCGTCCTCCTCGCCACTATCAACGTCATCGTTACTACCAGATAGAGGAGGACGACGATTCAGATCAGGAAACAGCATACCCACCCACTATCCATCATTACACCATTTATCAGTACCCCCTCTTGGCTCCCAATATGACTTACTACCCTCAGATGTTCCCACCACCACAGGCCACACTTCCTTACCCCAACCCGTATCCCTTGGAACATCAAGAGCAAATTGTTTCATACCACAATCATCAAATAATTTCGACAACAAGCCAGCCTCAGTTTCATCCCATCAATCAACTGCTCAACAATATCAATGACACCGGGAGGCAGCTCCACAATTCCTTCAATTAATCAAATGAAAGTTCTACTCTGGAATTGCCGTGGGGCGGCTAACCCAAATTTTATCCGCAATATCAAAGATATATTATCATGGAATAACCCTTCTATTTTAGCCTTGACAGAAACAAAACTTAATGAGCATGAATCACTTAAGGACGAACTTGGATTCACCGGCATCCTGCAAGCTCGTGCAGACGGCTACTCTGGTGGCATGGTTCTATTATGGGAAAGTGAGGAAGTTACCGTTGACCCCCTAGTTGCCACAAATCAAGAACTTCATGCAACAGTACAGGTAATCCCCTCATCCCCGCCTTGGACTATATCTGTTATTTATGCAAGCACCTCTTTAGCTAGCAGACTTCATCTTTGGGAAAATTTAAAATATTTTAATACGTCCTATCCTCGACCGTGGCTTCTCTGTGGTGACTTTAATGAAGTAGCCAGTGCCTCCGAAAAATTTGGAGGAAACCCTGTTAATATTAATAGAGTAATTGGGTTTTTGGACTGTATTCATTCTCTTGGAATGCATGATCTAGGCTTTACTGGCTCACGTTTCACCTGGACCAATAATAGAAAATTTCGGAACACCCTAATTATGGAACGGTTAGACAGATACCTGGCTAACTCTGACTGGCTCCAGCTATTTCAAGACTCTTCTGTAATTCACCTTCCACGTACATATTCGGACCACTGTCCAATTCTATTAAACCTTAGTAAGGCGACTAGCCATCCTAAGAAATTATTCCGCTTTGAAACTATGTGGACTAGTCACCCTGGCTTTGCTCCATTAGTCAATACTATTTGGCATCATTCCAACACTTATTTACCGACTGTATTGGGAAAAATTATATTTATATATAAAGGTGACGTGTCAAGACACGTGGATTGGTCAAATGGTCAAAGAATTACAATTAGCCAAGAGTCATGAGGTGCAACAGGTTCGAGCAAAGAAAGAGGAAGAGGCACGGGCAATCAGACAAATAACTCGGCGCCCGTACCTATTTAAGTCATTTATGTCCGAGAATCAGAAGGAATGAATCTGACAATGGAAAAGAATACAGATACGGCATTTCATGGGTATTAAATGCTGAATACGTTAGAGAATATGTTTTAAATGTGATGATTGTGTAACGTAACATTCAATGTCTTTAATTACTCATAATAGCCTCATTATGAGAAAAACGTATATTTCCAAAGGTATCTATAAAAAGGAGATGTATGATCAGTTGTAAGGACAGGAAATACTATTGGAATAGACATTGATTTATTTGTTTCTCTTGATTATCATCTTGCTATCCAGAATTACTTCTTTTCATTCATTTTCTTGATTATCAGTAAACCGAGTTCTTCTAAATTCTAGCTTTGACTAAAATCCCATTTTTTGGTTAAACAAATTGGTTCCGTTACCGGAAATCTGATAATCTATTTTCTCTTCGCTTAACTTTCCTTGTCGCATCAACTATGTCGAACAACAATGATAACACTCAAGGAAACCAGATGAATCAACAAAATCAGGGAGATCCACAGAATATTAACGCTCAAGTTCCTACTCCACGCGGCTCACCACGACAATCTCGTGAGGGTACTCCTGATGGGTCTCAAATAAACGAGCATGCTCAATTTGAAAATGCTGAAGCTGTTGATGAGGCTTTGTAGAAATTAATTGCTGCTCAGGTCAATAAAGTCGTTGAGGCACTTGTTAATCAGTTACCTGTTGCAACACCCACACCTACCCCAAATAACAACACTTTGGAAAACCCTCGTTCTGGGCTTGTTAACTCAGGCGGTGGAGGAACTCCCAGCGAATCACAGGAGAGAGAACCAGGTAATGTATTTAATTCCGATTTACAAAATTTAGTACTAACCTTGCAGAAACAGCTCAAGGAGCAAAGTGAGCGCACATAGCAGATACCCGGGGTGCCACCTATAATCAAAGGGGTAGATATGGATAGATATTCGCAACAACCCTGGAAGCCAAGTGCTGCTCCCCTTCCAATTTCAAAAAAGTTCAAAATACCTGATATTCCAAAATATGATGGAACGACAGACCCACGAGACCACGTGACTGCATTCACAACGGCCATAAAAGGCAATAATTTGACTAAGCAGGAGATTGAATCAGTATTAGTCAAAAAAATTGGTGAAACACTCACCAAAGGAGCGCTAACATGGTATTCTCTTTTACCCGAAAATTCTATAAATTCTTTTGCTGAGCTTGCAGATTCTTTTATCAAAGCACACTCGGGAGCTCAAAAAGTAGAGAAAAGAATGGAGGATATTTTCAAAATCAAGCAAGGGGACTCAAAACTACTTAGGGAATTCGTGGACAGATTTCAACGTGAAAGAATGACATTGCCACGTGTACCTGACAACTGGGCGGCTATAGCTTTCACAAATAATTTGAATGAAAAAAGCTCGGAAGCTACGAGGAAACTCAAGGAAAGCCTTCGAGAATTCCCCGCTACAATGTGGAATGATATTTATAACAGGTATAGCACGAAGCTGAGGATTGAGGAAGATACTGTTCCACGATTTCAAAAAGAAGAAAAGGTAAGTTCGAGACGTGCAGAGTCCGAAAAAAGATCCGGTAAAAATAGGTACAAGCCTTATATGGGACCTATGGGAAAAGACTCACGGTCAAAGCAAGATCACCAAAGGTACGATCATAAATCTAGAAACAGAGAATCAGGTTCTTCATCAAGATTTAGGAACGAGCGAAACAACCATGAGTCACGAGATGATGATCGAAATTTAAAAGCGAGGTTCAGTGGTTACGACTTCAATGTCAGCACCTCCGAGCTCGTAGCTGTTTTGAGAAGCATGGGAGATAAGTTTCGATGGCCAAAGGAGATGAGATCAAATCCAAATAGGCGCAATCCTGATCATTGGTGCGAGTTTCATAACGACCACGGACATAAAACAACATATTGCAGATTTTTACAGAGCGAAGTTGATCACTTATTAAAACAAGGATATCTTACTGAGTTTTTCAGTGAGAAAGGCAAGCAAGCTTACATGAAGAATAGACCGGAGCATCCAAAACCACCTTCCCCCAAAAGAACTGTCAACGTTATAAGTGGGGGCAAAGACATCAATGGTATATCATATACTGCAGCTAACAAAATTTCCAAAGTAACAATTACCCAAGGGAAACGGGTG